GTTTCATCCTTGGGATGTAATCTTTTCACTATAGCAACACTCTTCTCACTTTCTCCCTTTCCATTCATCCTTCTTTCCTGACCTCTGGGCTTTGTTTTTGTGTAAATGCTGGTTTTTTGGGGTCTAGTATGGTTGATTGTGCCCAAAAGTACATTCTTCCCTGATGTTGTTATTCACGTCATATTGTTGAGTGACCCTGAGTCAGAAGCCACTCATAGCTGACCCTCCAGTGGGTTTTCAGAGGAAGTAAACTGCACTGGAGGAGACTGCCCATCCTTCTCCCACACAGCAACTGGTGGATTCGAATTGTGTGCCTTTGGGATTGCAGCACAGCTTCTCAGCACTAGGCCACCAGAGCTCATTCACTTTTCTTTCTAGGATCTTCTCTTTTGAGCTTGATCAGAATGATTGGTAGTGGTTGTCAGGCACCATCTAGTTCTTCTGGTCTCAAGGTAGTGGGGGTTGTGGTACATTAATCCTTTGGACAAATTGCTTCCTTGAGTCTTTGATTTTCTTTATTATTCTTTGCTCTGGATGAGAAGCCACCAAGAGTTGCATCTTAGCAATTTTTAAGATCTCTTGTTCACTCCTCACCAAAGCAGGATGTAGAACATTGTCTTTGAAGGTTACATTATGCTAATTGACCTAGATGTTCCCTGGGACTGCATGATCTCTCTGGTAATGTTTTTCCTCCCCAGATGGACAGATCTAACATTGCCTTCAAAGACTAAGCCAGTTTAGGAAGAAAAACATGATAATCTATTTTGGAAAATTAGCCAATGGAAATCCTATGGATTACATAGGATCCACTGTGTCCTATATAGTACTGAAAGAGGAACCCCTTAAGTTGGAAGGCTCCACATAATGTCTGCAACAATGGAGTCCAGTGTCATGGATCAATTAAGTAATAATTGATAATCTATAATAATTAAGATAATCTGTAGCGCAGGATAGAGCAGGGTTTAGGGCTGTTGTGCATAGGGTCGCTATGAGTCGGAAACGACTCGACGGCACACAACAACAACAACAACAATCTGTAGCCAGGAAGGAGGATCTTGTAGTATGTGAGCTCCAGAGATTACTAGGCGGGTTAGGTGAAGGCAGGTCTCATTGATAAACAGATCACAACATCTTCTTCCTCCCTACAATCAAAGTGCTGAAACCTTTTCCTGAGTCAAGGATGCACCCAAGGCAGTGAAGCCCAACAGCCCAGGGCCCAGGGGTGCTTTTAGAAACAAACAGACCAAAGCAGAGAATTGGAGCTGATTTTGTTCTCTCCCTCCAAGTTCTCTCTGTACTCCTTGGCTCCTGTTCATCTTCCCAGTTAAAACTTCCTTGGTCAACTTTTCCAAGCAAAGACTCTGGCCTAAAAAAAAGTCAGTCTTTATAGTAAGTGCACTTACTATGTTCCAACACTGTGTTGTTACTAACATGCTGTTGTTACTGTTTGCTGTGACGCTGATTCCATCTCCAGGTAGCCCCACAGAGCAGAGGAAAACAGTACCATATAGTTCCCTGGGCAACAGACTTTATGGGAATACACTTTCAGGTTTTTCTCTTCCTGTGGAGCAGTTGTTGGGTTTGAACTGCTGACCTTTTAGTTATTAGCCAAGTATTTAACCACTGTGCTACCAAGGCTTCTTAATTCTCTGCTATTTCCATTTGCTGGTTCACCGGTCAAGATGCTCTCCTTATATTTCACTGCCACCAAAGACCTGCGACACTGTTTTTTTATGGAACACCTTTGTGACTTCTAAATTTTTTTTGTTAGCTTAGTTTATGAACTTGAATCTATCCCTAGTACTAGACTCCAAGTCCTTGCGATCAGAAACTGTGCCTATTTAGTTCACAGCTGTATCCCAGCACCTAGCAGAAGGAACATATGACCTAGAATATTCTGGTTCAGCTCAGCTAATATTTGTCAAATTCAAAGGGATGAATGACCGACCACAGGAAGGGGAGGTACCGTGAGCTCCATTTTACAGAAGGGCAAATTGAGTCTCGGAAAGCTTAAGCAATTAACACATTGCCACACACTTTTAAATTGACGACCATGCGTAGAAACACATTTTGCCATCATGTGCGGCAAAATATCGTATCATACAACTAAGTAACATCAAAGGAAAGGTCAAAACTTAGGTTATTCTATAGTAAGTCAGGAGGAAGGGTACTGAATTCAGGCTTCCATTTAGCTTATACACTTTGGTCATGTTTCCAGGAGGGGTCAGTCCCTGAAGAAAGATATTTGACTTGATAAAGTGAAAGAGGAAGACCCTCAGTAGGACGGAGTGACCCAGTGGTTGCAGCAATGGGCTTGAGAACAGCGGTGATGGGAAAGATGACGTAGGAAAGGGCAGTGTTGTACTGCATATTTGAGGGGTCCCCATGAGTTAGCTTTGATACCCAACAAACAACAATATTGGAGGGACAGGACTGTGTTTATCCTGACCTTCACTAGTCTTCTATAAGCATCCAATAACTCTCAAGACTTGGGCTGCTAAATCTAGATCTAAACATCAGTGGCAGCCACTGCCATTCGTTAATGCTGAGTCATGAGGAAAAATGGACAAGGTGGGTCCTTACATTACTCGAAGACTCTTAAGTATTACACATTAGAAGACAAAGATTCATCAACTCTTTTCAGAAGGCTTCCTTGGGTCTGGGAAAGATGCTAGATGCTTTGAGTCACAGGGGGAATAAGCTGGACACAGCTCTTTTCTCATGGAACTCAAGTCTAAGAGAGAAGACTTACAAGGAACCAGTGACCCTAATAATTCTTTAATGGCAACTGGGAGAAATGCCAAGCAGTGCGGAGTGACATGGTCACCCTAGCCTGTGGCTGTTCCCAGCCATTTGAGAAATGTTCCTGGAGGAAGGCACAAATCAAAGTTGAGAAATGTCAATCGGAGTTGACCAGAGGAATAAAGAGCATGCCCAGAAGAAGCAGAGTACTACCGGGGCCCTGAGGTGGGAGGCCAGTGTAGCCTGGGAGCAGTTCAAGGTGAAGTAGGAGAGGGGTGGGGGAGTCACCCACGCTGAGCTTTGTAGACATGTGAGGGCTGAAGACGGTGGGAAGCACTGGAGGAGTTATACATCCAGCCTGAAGGGAATCGGAGAAGCCACTTCCTCTCCTCTCAGCAGGCAGCTGCAGTCAAGGGCCTCCCTGGATGCATCCCTCCCGTCCCCAGTACTATCCTGTCTTAGAGAGAGTCCGGCTGGGGATGCCCCCGAGGAATTGGCTTTTCCCCCTTCCCAGGGCCTTGTCACTCCCAGCCTCCCCTGGGTGTCTGTGCCTCCTGCCACTTGCTTGTAAGTTTCCTAATATAGACTGGCTGTTTCCTCCCCAACCGGTGGCCAAGGGCTGCTCTCCCTTTGCAATCTCAGATCTCTCTAGGGCTTAAAGGGACCATGTCATGCCAGTTTAGTTAAAGGTGTGTTGGTGGATTCGATTTCACAAGCTTGCCCAATTGAGAGACTAGATCTCTTCCCTCTTCCCCCTCCGTTTTAAACATCATCTTCTCTGCTCTCCCCTAGCTCACTTTCCTCTTTCACACCCCCCTCTCCCAGTTTCTTCTGGGAAGTGAAAGGAGCCCAGCTAGACACAGATGTGAGTTTGGCCTTTGGTATATTTATTCACTGTGGCATCTTGGGCGAGTCCTTTATCCAAGGTGTGCCTTCGAGTTGGAACCAACCCATAGCTGACCCTCCAGTAGGTTTTCAGAGACAGTAAATCTCACAGGAAGAGTGTCCATTCTTCACCCATGAGCAACTGGTGGATTCGAACCACATGTCTTTGGGGTTGCAGAGCAGCTCCTTACCGCTAGACCACCAGCGTTTTCTCTTATGGAAGGCATACGAGACCTCATTTTCACAGGCTGTGTTCTGATTGCTGTTTTCTGCTCTAAGCAGAAAGAATAAAGACTCTTTTCTAGAATGTGTGCTGTTCATTCATTCAACAAAAATTAACGGTTCCTAAGTGACACTGTTTTGATACAGCAGAATGAAAAGAAAAGAAATCTCATGGGGCTTACATTCTGGTCAGGGATGCAGTCAAGAAACAAAATAGAAAGCAGAGTCCATGTTCTAGTAAGTATGCCATGAAGAAAAAGAAAGCAAGGAAGGGAGCTAGGAAGGGCGATAAACAAAAACCAACCCACTGCCACTGAGTTTCCTTTGACGCCTAATGACCCCTTATTGCATTTCCAAAGCTAGAAATCTTTATGGGAAGAGATGTCCCATCTTTCTCCCTCAGAGCTACTGGGGAATTCAAACCACGTTCCAGTGAGTGGTGTAACAAGCCACCACTGTCCAATCAGAACCGACTCACAGCTGACCCTCACAGCTGACCCTCCAGCGAGTGTTCAAAGGCAGTTAATCCAATGGGAGCAGATTGCTCATTTTTTTTTCTACTAGAGAAGAATACTGAATATCCTATGGCCTGCTAGGAGAACAAACAGCTTCGCCCTAGAGAGAGCAGACCAGGCTGCTCCTTAGAGGCAAGGATTCTGAAGCTTTGTGTGACATACTTTGGACATGTTGCAAGGTGGAATCAGTCCTTGCAGAGGGACATCATGCTTGGGAGGGTGGAGGGACAGCGCAGGAGAGGAAGACCCTCGATGAGGTGGATTAATTCAGTGACTGGGGTAATGGGGGTATGCGTGTTAGAGACAATAGCACTGGTACAGGATAGAGCAGGGTTTAGGGCGACTCGACGACACATAACAACCCCCAATCTCACACAGTGATGCTCTGAATTACACACTTGCACACTTAGGATCTCAGGAACTCTAACTGAGCAAGCATTCTGACTGGACAACGGACGCCCTTGCACACTCATGCACGCATGGCACCTCGTCTGCATTTGTAACCTCACACTTTGGGCTGCACTGATGGCCTACTCCCTCTACCTGCGCCCCTGGGGCCTTGTTCCCACCTGTCCTTGCATTCCCAGGGACCCCATGTCACCATGTCACTAACGCCCCGTCCTCTCCCCCCCGCAGGGACCTACCAAGGCCAGTTCACCAACGGCATGCGCCATGGCTACGGCGTGCGGCAGAGCGTGCCCTACGGCATGGCGGTGGTGGTGCGCTCGCCGCTGCGCACGTCGCTCTCGTCCCTGCGCAGCGAGCACAGCAACGGCACGGTGGCCCCAGACTCGCCCGCCTC